CATCGAAACCTTCAATCTTTCAATATTTCTAGTAGCTTTCACCATTTCATAATAGTACAAAAGCGCATTCACCAACTGCGAATTCAGAGATCGGAAAATGAAAATGCAAGAGAGAGAAATATAATAAATAATGTAAATCTCATGAATTAAAAACTGTTTGAACCTTTGGTCGTTTAATTCCAACCAATCTGAAATAAAAAGCTTCCATTCGAGCATTTCTGCCATTTTCAAAATTCTGTACTTCGCCTTGTTCTTCACTGTATCGATGGCATATATTATTTGGTTCAATCTTCTGTTATGCATCGCTTCAGTTCAAAATGGTCCAGGTAAGAAATATTCATTTTATGCTCAACGGAAGGTCCACAGTTAGGGCATACTTCGGTAAACACATGAAACGATCACAAATTTCATTAAGTCAATAAGGTCACTCCGGCAATGAGTAATTCTCAGAAAACCCTAACATCCACGGCAACTTGGATTTAGCATTAAGTGCTTCAGACACAGTTACATGTAACAGTCGATGGGAAATACTAATAGACAATTACCGGGAACAAGCAGTAAAGAATTATATAATGACAAAGAATTATATAATGTCATATTTGATAGGTTTAATGAGTGATGCTAACACAGTCATTTTTCAATTTATATTCATTAATTAACATATAAAATGGTATTTGTAAACACAAACGTCATACCAGTTTTTCAGTCAAACAGAAGTATGAATGTCGTTATTGTAATGCGACTATGGAGATGAGAAAGGAATATTCAAAACACTTTGAAACGCACAAGGAACAAGGTTTATATAAGTGCACTTGGCCCACATGTGACAAGAAATTCCTTACCTCAAAGGGACTTCGAGAGCATTACGTAAAACATCAAACTAAATTTCCATGTGAAATTTGTGGCTGTTTGCTTTCTTCCAAGCATGCACTACAAAGGCACGAGAAGCAACACCGCGGTATTGGAAGTTAGTTTTGCAAAATTAATGCTTAGCAAAAGAATTTTTTAACGTATTTGTTCGCATGAAAATGTGAAGTGGCAATTCAAAATTCAATACTTACTGCAAAATTTTTCTAACCTCAGCAAATACTGATAAATGCATGGAAAAAATAGTACGGCATTTGATCCACGAAACCAAAGAGCTACTAACCACTCACTTCGTTTGACTCAATGAGGTAATTTTAGGGTAAACAGAATGAAATCCGCATTTAGGGCATACTTTGGTAGATACACGAAACCATCACATTGCCGACCAAATCTTATTAGGTAAACAAGATCATTCGGGCAATGAGTATTTCTCAGAATACTTTAACATCTGCCACAACTCGGATTTAGCACCAAGTGCTTCAGAGCAGTTACATATAACAGTGGATGGGAAATACTAATGGACAATTACCGGGAACAAGCAGTAAAGAATTATATAATGACATATCGTTTTAATCCTTTCAGTTTATGTTTTAACTCAATTGCATGAAGATCTAAGCTACAAAGAATCCCAAATCCGAATTCTATCCTGTTGCAGTGAAAAATTCAGAATTACTTTTCATCCGACATTCTTCCATTGGAGACAACACTGAGAATGAGCTCTTTGTTTAAAAAGAAATCTATGATATGCTTTAAAAAAGTGAATAACATCCCGTAATCTAAGTTAATCATAATGTAATTTGATAGGTTTAATGAATGATGCTAACACAGTCATTTTTCAATTTATTTTCATTAATTA